TAAAGGTTTGTAATATATGAACAATGTGGGACTGTAAAGGTTTGTAATATATGAACAATGTGGGACTGTAAAGGTTTGTAATATATTAACAATGTGGGACTGTAAAAGGTTTGTAATATATGAACAATATGAGTTGCTGGGTTTCTCAGAATATGAACCATATACAAAGCTAGTGGATTTAATGAGGAATAGTTATATGTAGAACTTCGGTTGAACTGCAAATGTTGTATCATGTTAAAATATAATTAGAACAGATTAACAGCATTTGTTGTGAGATGTGAATTGCATTTTTCTCATCATTACATATATAGATTCGGTTACATTAATAAAGAAAGCTAAATAGTAAATTTGTAGCTAAAAGTGTTCAAATTAAAGCGACTTGACTTCCATACTTTCATTGCTAATTACAAAAACATCTTGTTTATTTTTTACATTACAAACAAGCATTGGACAGATGAATTTCCTAATAGCAATACGCCTGTATGCATTTGTTTATATTGTTGGGTTTAGCTAATTTTTTCTTGTTAAATATTTCGTATTATCTGTAGTACTGAATATAAAGTTCTAGTTATGTATCATTGGAAACAGAGGCTATACAGAGATACGTGTTTTAATATGATTTCCCTACCTCAGGCCATGTTATGGATGCAAGTCATTAAAGAATTGAGACAAGGAGTGAAACTGAAGAAAGTCGATTTTCATTCACACCCACAACACTCAATTGAGTACGAACTCACTCCTTTCGAAATGTTGTTAGACGACATCCGCTCTCAGCGTTACAAACTAAACAAAGTAATGGTAAGCATAGCTTGTGTAGTGTGATCATATTGAATTATAAAAAATTAGTTAAATTGTCGTACCATTGTTATTATCTGTATACTTCTCCGACTTTGAGATCTAAAATATAAAAGCGAAGTTGCTTTGATTTGTGTTGATTGAATATAGGAATATGTTGACCAATAAAAAGTATTGTTTAAGGTTTAATAAGTGTATTCCATTTTGTCAGGACATCGTCAATTGTTAATAGAATGAGATAACAATAACAAAAAGCAACTGAGTATATATATTAGAAAATTAAAAGCAGAATAAAACTTAATTAAATAATGGAATTAATTATTTATTTTAATCATTTTGATTTTATTGGTACTTTCAAACATTTACAATCAGTTTAATCAAAAAATTCCATAATAAAATGTATTTAGCAATACGGGTTCATATAGTCTGCATTAGAAGTGTGTGACGGAATATTTTACTTGTTAGATGTATGTTTACATTCAAATAATTTGTACTTTAAATATGTCTGCACCATTTTTATAGGGAAATTACGTCCGTTTCATTGTACTGAATGCGCTGAACCACGCTTAGCTAAAGTTAGCATTAAAATTTTCTGACAGAACAGTTGTATGCATCACTTATACTTACTACGTCTCGTAGACGTTGCTAATATACACAAATCATTATTCATTTTGTTGGATATTGGCAAGTGTAACTCCTCACTTAACTGAGGAGTCATAGGTGTTTTATTGTAGGACGACACTTAAACCAATGGGCTACACAGTTTTTATCAGTGTTTTTGCAAATGACCAACCTTCGGCTGCTTTATGTATATATCTTTCTTAATTATCAATACATGACAGTTGTGGTAACAAACTGGCATGTTTACTGAAAAGGTTATAACTGACTTTTCGGGTTCTGTGCTTGTTTTTAAAACGTATAACTTATTGTCAAGGCGTGTAGCTAGAGCTGTTTTATTCCAGTGTTTCTTTATTGAATATAATTTAACTCGTGTCTGAATGAGGATAAATTGTCCACTTGTTTTATATCATCTTGATAGAGGAGGAGAAATATATCTATTTCAGCTTTAAACCTTGAAAACTGAATCTCTTATACCAAAGATGAATTCAAGCGCATCAGGCTGAAGAACCATGATATTAGATGAAAGGCATTGTTCGCACTGGATACAGCAGATAGTGTTGTTGTTGGACAGTTACTATGAGCACTTTCTTACTTTCACGTAAACGTTAGTATTGATAAGTGGTATATCCTATCGTAATGTGGATAACAGTATTATAGCAAAATAACTTTAAGAGACTTGGTTACTTCAGAAACAGTTACGTAGTAGCCATGTTATAATAAGATGTACAAAAGCGGACGCTAAACTAAATGTATGTTAGTGTAGGTACAGAATTTTCCAAATATAAAGGACCTAGCCAACGGAACTTATGTGTTTGAGTTACAAAAACAAACTGTTGTAAAAGTGAGTGGAAGGTATTATATGGCGTAAAACATTAATAGTATTGAATGGTATACATCAGTATTTTGGTTGAAGTTATGCTGTTTGGCACTTCTACCGAAAGTATAGATATATGCCAATTTTAACTCGTATTCGTTAGTATTTGATCAGATATGCTTGTTTTTGAAAAGTGCTTCAGCGTCATTTATCGTAAAACTTGAGCACAAACACCATCAACATATGTTATAATAACTAACACAATGTCCACTTAATTAACCGTAAACTTGTAGCATCTTGTATAAGTTGTATCTATGTTGCACGAGGTATAGAACTCTGACACCGGTCATTCAGGCATGGTTTGTCTGTGTTGCAGGTGAACGGAGATATTCCACCCAGAGTCAAGAAAGACGCTCATGCCTTAATCCTGGAATTCATCCGTTCCCGCCCACCACTAGTCCCAGTATGTTATTTTTGTCTTAGCCTTGGTTAAATTTTTTTTTTTTTATTCTTCAGCTGTAAACTATCGTTGTAAAGTAAATAACTACTAATTTTTAAAATGTAAGTATACACTCATGTACTCCTAAGTGAATCCAAAATAATATTTTGTCATTAATTTATTTTTAATAATTCACGAATTTTCTGCCGAATAGTAATTTTTATAATTGTAGGCGAAGAAATGAAATTTTACCGTTTTGGCTTTTTTTTATTGCATTTTGTCGGTTTTAGTTTTACAAAAATAATTAATTTTACCTGTAATATGGAGATTACAGTTGCTGGATTATCCTATTTTAATGCCGTGTTGTGCTGTTATACAGTAGGAGGGGTTAGGCACTATCTTATTTTTAAGTGAATTATATAAGTTGCCAGATGCTATTTCACACCGTCTTAGTAGAGTGTGTATTTTATGCTACTCGAAGCTTATGCATAGAATTCAAACTATTCACAAAACAGAAACATTATTTTCATATAGGTATCCAAAAGGAAACTACCCCCGCCGCCACAGAGACCACCAACTCTCTATGAAAAATTAATGGCGTCCATCAGACAACACCCAAAACTAAAACCAACACCCACGAGAAGTGCTTCAGGTAAGAAGACTCACTCTTTTCCTCTAGATGGCGGAGATGTAAGGCGGGAAGTTTTTTATGTTTTTGTTATCCTGCGTTGTGATTGCAGGCGAGTGTTTGAGTAGCACAGAAAGAATGTAATAAGTCTCTACGTCATTCAAGTGAGAAAAATAAAAATTCACAATTACAAAAAAATAACGATCGTTTTAAATCATAAAGTTTGCAAATTTATAATTGTTGGCGTAGATTTTTGTTTTCGCATAACATTATACAGGGTGGTATTTTAGCATTCGCTAAATGTACGTGCATTAGCAATCTTTAATACATTTTTATTTTTCTATCTTCCGTAAACATTCGTGGTTAGCAAACTCTAGAAAAGGAATTTTTGATCGTGTGAAGTAAAGTGGCAAAAATATCAGATAGTTAAGAATAATGATTATTTAAAAAATAATATCTGGCTTTTTTCATAATCCGTTTGGAACAGACAACTTGGAATAGATACTGAATATAAAAAGTGCACTGACAGTTGCAAAAATTAAGGATCAAAATTAAGATGCACATTTTATAATTTGTTTTCGTTTGTAAGATTAGCTAAAAAGAATGGGATATTTTACAAAATATTGTGAAACTTCTAAAGATATGAAGGAAGTTTACTAGGCCTATTTCATCCTCTGTGTAACGCTTAGCATTGTGGGAAGTTTTAGCATCTTTGAACTAGTGGGTTTTGTTACTGGTTTTTCATAGTACTTCTAGTGGTCCTCAGATCTTATTCTTTAAGGCCACCCAGAAAATTTTTAGAAGGCCCTAAAATTAAAAAAAATATTCAGTTTCAGTCATTGTGGGATCTCGATATGATTATGATATGGACTTTAAATTGGTGTAAATAAAAGTCAGAGACATGGATCGAGTAGGAAATCTTTTATGTGAGAATGTTGTTGTTTTTAAAATAAAATTAAAGAAAACCAGCAATCGTAAAATTAATATATCTACATCCACAGACGGATAGTAAGTAATCTTACACTGCTAAATTAGGGACGGCTAGCGCAGATAGCCCTCGTGTAGCTTTGCGCGAAATTCAAAACAAACAAACAATCTTTGTTTCAAGATGTATTTATTGCTGTTTTATTGGTCACAATCATCAAGTTCAATTGAACGTTTATTCTAGTTTCCTCTAATATATTTTTGAAAACATCTCTAAACGTTCACTAGAATAACCTAAAATTTAGCCCTACCAAGTATATATATTCGTTGTTGTTGTTGTATTCTGTCAGAAATGCCTGATATCAGGAAGAAAGCCTTTATTTAATTCTGGTTACTAGCTTTGCTTTTGAACAGAGCTGTTTAAACATTTGTTTAATAACAAGTAAAAGCTTGGAATGGTCCATTCTTTCATAGTGGGTGTGTCTATGGGCCAGACTAGTTTCGGAGAATTTCACACCTCATCGGTGACCCTGGATACTACCACCGAATGAAACTTTAGACCAAACCAGGCCTTTATAGTAGTGAGGTATCGAAATGGTGTATTTAAGTGTTTTACACTCACACTTTTAGCTTTGCTTTTGTTATATACGTACACATGTTCCACAGAGCCTTGATCATGTTATAGTGTGCACTAGAAGTTATTGCACGCTATTTATTTAAAGCAACAGCAAATATTTTCTAACGAAAAGTACTGGTGCCCCTACAGTTTTGTGAGGCAGGTGCTATGCAGATGAATTTACAACCCCCCAAGAGACCATTCATTCTGTTTTATTGTTGCAAAATAAAAAATCTCGTGTTTATATATTCCCCCCTCAATCAAAATCACTTCACCCTGGACGCAGTTAGATTGTGCTATTCATACATCTCAGGCTTGAGCAACAGATGTAGCCATATTGGTGTAATATATCTGCCAGTTCACTGTTATGCACCGATAGGCAGCCATACAATAATTCTCTACTGTGTGAACTCTAGGTTGGAGAGTTATATTTTGTCGTGTGGCAACTTGTATATAATTTGCATTTATAACATTTGATGTCATTAAATATTTTGCTACATTTTTCAATTTTTTTAGTTTATATTTTTATTGGGCCACGTGTCATCAAGATACTACATTTTTTCCACCGCTTTATAAAACACGTTATTCACAAATGAATTCAAATGCGTGTATTGTCGCCACCTATTATCCTCTTATGATTTAACAGACAAATTAGTTTGTATGTTAATAGGAATGTAGCGTTAGTGTTGCATCACCTTTTCACAAGTGGTGGTGTATTAATTAACATATATATGTAGTGTAAATAGAATCGAATAATTAACAGGATCATTCTAAGAGACGGTTTCTTTTTACAATCCCCTAGGGCTCAGCTGTAAGCTTGAGAGCATATGACTCTAGAGTTCACGGTTTTATCCCTGCGGCGAACACAAATGCAACAGCCCATTGTTTTCCTTTAAGCTGAAATAAAACAAAGAAACTCTCCATTTCTTTCTGTTACTAGAACTGAGTAATTTTAAGCATCATCTTCCTAACGTGTGACGTTTACAAAGTACCAGTGACAAGAACAAATCTGAATAAAATGTATTTTAATGCCGAATTTCTACAGTGACAGTTTTGAACTGGACATTTTAGTTTTTTATAACTCAACTAATGTGTATCATATCATATAATTTTGTGCAATATATTAATAAAACTACTTCTCAGAAAACCAGATTTTACGAGTCAGCTTTGTAAAATTAATTGCTAAATTCTGTTTTGAAGTCAAAGTTCTGGTCATTTTCGAGTGATAAGAAATGCTGATAATAATTTCAGTAGTCTAGAGTGTAAGCACCCATGTTTCTTGTATGCGGAAGACTCAATAAAGCGTTTGTGTATTATCTTGTAGGTTATACAGGTGAAACAGTTTGACTATAATTGCAGCACGAAAAAATTTTAAGTGCTGAGCGTAGAAGGGTGAGAAGGTCATGTCTCAGGCTGAGACTCAGGAAGCACTTTATTTTGTGTGGGACAATGAGTAATAATACTCTGTTTTACCTGGTTCTTCTTAATACACAGCATTGCGATTTTTTCTATCACGTAAGGATTTTTTACAAAT